GGGGAAGGGGGGATTTCTTCGTGAGTCGCCTCTGGGGCTTCGGCAGGAGAGCTCCTTGCTCTCTGTCCGAGGCCGATAGCGCATTGAAGGATGCTACTTCACACTCAATGTCAACTGATGTGGTGGCCGTCCTCACCACCACAGGCTTCTGAGTGTGCTCCTCGCTAACTTCTTACAATACCAGGGGCCCCCTGAAGTCGCCCTGGATAACAGGGGGGTACTGGGCACGTAGCCTGTCGGGGAGACGGCGCATCCAATCCCAGTCCATTTCTTGTCCGAACATCAGGCCCTCAAGGACCTCGCCGGGAACCTCTAGGCTCGCCGCCAGATCGGTTTTGCAAAGCGAATCGGAGCACTCGTTCCAAGGGTTTCCTCCCTGGGAACGGACGTGAAAAAAGTGATGTCTGCTTTGCTCCTCGCAAGTCTTAAAGCATGCCTGGTCAACTTTACAAGCTGGCCGTCTACCCCCGCGGCCACAACTTGCACCTGCGCCAAGGCAAATGAAGTGGCATTGTCAACTAGAAACGACACCTGGGGCCCATGGTTGAAATCCAAAACTGGGTGCCCGTTTTCCCTTGGGGCCCCCGCCAAAATCCACTGTAACTCCCAGTAGATGCCTAGTATCTCAAACGTTGTGCTGGGAACCTTGGCCAAATCTATACCCCCCGGTGTCGCCCTGGCCGCCTGCCCCCGCAGGTAGCCGCAGAAGTGCACCTTGGTTTGACCATCGGTGCTGTCGGTGGATCTGGCAACTACGCTCGCGGCCCAACTTGACTTGGCTGGGTCGTCGGGCTGCCACGAGCCGTCGGAATAGATCTCGATGGCTGCATGTGGCGCCTGCGGCGGCTCGGCAAGCCCCCAAGCTAGCCTCGCGGAGGTGTGGAGTTCATTTACGGGAACCGGGCGAGAGAGACGGACAAGTGGGCCAAGCGAGGAGATAACACGCGTGAAGTCACCCCAACTGTCACACGGAACGCAAAACTGCTCGGGTCCACCTGGTGGGTTCTCGTCTTGAGTAGGTTCGGGCCCACGGCTCTGAGCGGACTGCAGGTCCCCAGGTCCGTGAGGGAGGGAAGGGGGGACCGACTGATCCGCGTCAAAATTGAGCAAGGCGGACAGGGATAGAATGACTGGGCGCCTGCGGAGCGCTGGGACCAGCGCTGGAACGGGAGAGCCTGGGAGCGGAGGAGGGGAGAGACTGACAGGGAAAGATGCATTAAACAGCCTCCTCCTTTGCGTACCCCAACTCACGCGCCGCCCTCTCTGGCCAGCATCTCGGCCTGCTGCTCCTCGCCCAGGATCTCCACTATCTCGTCGTCTCCCCTCTGCATCTTCCTGGCGGGGCTGTCTCCCGACGTCGTGGCCTCTGACGCCGTCCTGGGGAAGGGTGAGTCCGCCTCTCCGAACTCGCCCTGATAGCCTGAGACAGACCGCGGCGGGCCAGGAAGCGCCTCGACCTCCTTGACCTCCTGTGTCGGCGAGATGGGGGTGAGCGTGCCCTCGAATGGGATCTGCTCTTGCTGGGACTCCTCGAGGGCCTGGGCGAGGCTCGTCGGGGCTATGGTGATCGGGCCCATGCGAAACCCCACAGCCCCATGTTGCGTAGCCGTGGCATTCACACCAACCCCTGGCGTTGATGCCTCTGTACTGGCTGTCGGCGATGGCGGCACTGGCATGCGCTCTGCTGTCGTCTTCTACCTGCTCAGGTCGCTGATCGCCGTGGTCAACCCTACTATAGATTGTCGCTCATCGCTGTGAACTGCTGCTTGTTGGTTTCCATCTGCTGGATGACGCCATTGAGCTGGATTGCCTGCTCGGCCGTGATACCACCAACCGCTGGCCCCTGCGGCGTTGGCTGCTGCCCGCCATATGCTGGCGCCGCGCTCTGACCGCCCCTGCCGTGGCCCTTGGCATTCATGGCGTCGACGAAGCAATGCGGCGGGACCACGGGCACCATGAGGTGCTGCGGGATCACGGGCATCTGAGCCTGCGGCGGCGGCTGCTGCGGCCATGCACGCCACGGCGGCCCAGCCTGCCCATGTGGAGCGGCCACTGGGGCGGTAGGCCTTGGCCCCGCAGCTGCCGCGCTGCCTGCTGGAGGCACGGGCGGCGGCCGCGGCCCTGGCTGCGGCGCCTGCATGGCCTCGTCGATCTGCTCGGCCTCCTCCTGAACTAGCTGCTCGATCTGGGCTTTGAGCTCGTCAATCTCGGCTGCGACTGACGCTTCCTCCTCCGCGAGCTTCATCTGGTCGTGTTTGATCTTGCGGATCCTGTCGTCGAGGCGAGACTTCCTGTTCCTCATGTCTGCGATCTGCTGGGCGATCGGCTTGAGCGCGACCAGGGCAGCCTTCCACATCGAGATTTCGTAGCGGGCCTCTGCGTCGTCCATGCCTGCTGCCTTGGCTGCGATGGCCGACAGTGCGAGGGACTCCATTTTCTGCCTGGCCTTGGCGCGATAGGCGGCAACCTTGGACTCGTCGAGCGGCGGCGGGCCCCAGGTCAGGTTCGCCTCGGCCCCCTGCAGAGGGATGGGCCGCACGGTCGCAATCATCTTGTTGACTGCTGCTTTGGATGGCTGGTGGCGGCCCTGATCCTGCCATGGTGCTCCGTTCGCGCCCACGCTCCTCGGTCGTCTTGCCCAGACCACCTTCATACGTTGACTGAAATAAGTTCCGCACTTGCAATTCCACTTCGCAACTGGAACCTTCTCTCCGCACGGGCATCTCCATCCTGAGACCTGACTCGACATCTTCCTGCTGAGTGGTGCACCTTGACTGCTGTGGCGCGCACTCAACACCTGCTTGGCGCTGGACCTGTGAGAGCGTAATCTTCTATGCCAGGCTGGTTCCGCTGGCCTGGAGCCGCGGAAAAGAGTCGTGGCCGGGGTTACGGCGCCCCCGACACACCTAGGGTTGGGCCGGTTCTGCCCTTTGCCTGCCCCCTGCGGGCAAATGGCAGTTTCGGCCAAACGCCTGCGCCTCAGTCTACGCCCCCTCCTCCTCCTCTTCCTCCTCCTCCTCCAGCCTCCTCCTCCTCCTCTTCCTCCTCCTCCTCGTCCTCCCTCCTCGACCTGCCCACTCCACTCCTGCCTGCCCCTCTCCTCATATTCCTCCATCTCCTTAGCCGCCTTCATCTTCTCCTCCCCCCTCCTCCGCCTCTCCCTCCTCCTCCCTCTTTCCCTTACAGAGCCGCCATCCCCCAATTCCTCATCCCTCCCTCCTCGCCCCTCCCCCTCACCTCCTGCCATCCCCCCCAAAACCCCGTCCTCATCATCCTCCCAATACTCAGCAGCATCATCATCACCACCATCATCATCATCCTCATCATCATCGTCATCACCACCACCATCATCATCACCATCACCACCACCACCATCATCATCATCCCCAGCCATTTTGGCTCAAGGCCAAATCTCGTCGTCTTCGCTGCGTTCACGAGGTAGGCTCCCATTCCAGCTTCCTCTCAGAGCGGTCCTTTCCAGATTCAAGCCCAGATCTGAGCCTCGCGCCCCTGGCACCTCCATAGCAAAGCCCAGGAGAGCGCCGCGCCCCTGGCACACCGCTCTCGCTGCAGGCCCAGCCCACCGCCTTCCTCGTCCTCGCCGCCTACGTGCTCTTCTTCGCCCTCCTCGGCGCCTGCCAACAGACCGCCGCCGTTAGTTATCAGTGCTACTTCGACCCGTCACAATGTCATATTACAGCGCGGACGGCCCCCGCGCAACAGGTTCTCGCGCCTCCAGAAGTGGTGGGGTTTCAGCGGAAGGAGATGGTGCTCGACGCAGCGACACTCGACAAGCCAAACGCCGCGCCCGCCGCGAAGAACGCGAACGTGAACGACGGCGCGACGACCGCGACAAAGACTGCGATCGCTCAGACAGACGTGACCCTCTTCAACGACGAGGCCCTTGGCATTGTGGACGCTCCACAGCAGCCAGTGTCTCGCGACCACGACGACCTTGCGGAGCCCGTCAGCGTGAGGCCCCTGGATATGCTTCTCCTCTGGGCGCCGCTCATCACCCCCCATGGATCAAAAAGAAGCCGCTCGCCCCGCCGCCGAAATCGAGCTTGCCCAAGCGTTTCCGTCACAAGAACTTCGAGCAGACGTTGCGCCGCCTCTTGCTCCTCCACAGCACGCTGCAGCCGCCGCTGCCGAGCGACCCGCTGCGCCGCGACCACCACGACAGCAACGCCCAGCAGCTGCTCCCCATGGACATCCCCCACAGCTCCCACAGCTTCCTGGAGGACCTGCACCAGCCGGACTCTCTGCTGCCATTGAGAGCGTGGCCAACGCGCAGCTCACCATGGCCACCCAACGGCTCGGCAACCTTCGACACGACTCGGGCACATGTCCAACATACTCTTCGCACAACCACCGAGCAGTACTACACCCCGCAGAAAGCCCGCAGCGAGCAAGCTGAACGCGACCTTGGACCATTCGCCGCCGCCAAGACGAACAAGCCTCGCAACAGGAAGCCCTTCGCCAAGCCGCACGACGCCTCGAACAAGCAGTCTCTCCCGCCGAAGCACAAATCCCGATCGTCGACCTCGTCGACGTCGCGGGATACGAGCGAGAACCGAACCCGTGCTTCTCCCAGATCGGCGCCCCGAGCAACATCCAACCTGCTGAAGTACGTCGCGCCCTCGATCCCTGGATACAGGACGCCCAGCTCACCGCCGAACATGTGCAACTACTCGAGGACGCCCCCGCTCGCCGTTTTCACTTACACACCGGTGGCGGACCTGAAGTCGCTCGACCCCGCACACTCGCTCTCGCTCGCGCTCTCAAGCTTATCGGCTGCAGATGGCGCACACTCTCGGACCCCAACGTCCAGGGCGCCGTCGCGCCGCCCCACGTCTCCCCCGACCAGTCGCCCAAGCAGGTTCGCGCGGAGCCTCAGACCAAACGCATCGCGGGCATCCTGGGCGAGCATTTCCCCGGCGCCACCATCAGGGCGCTGCGCCAGTCGGGCATCGCAGTCGGGCGCAATGCCGATCGCGGAGGTCCAGCCGCAGGGCCTCCGCGAGCACTCCAAGCTCAACTGGGCCCCTGCGGCGGTCGCGCCCATGGGCATCAGCGAGGAATTTGTCACGCAGAGGTTCGAGGCCTCCTGCATCTCGGTCGACGCCTCGACGCGGCGCTTTCAAACGCAACTGTGCCCCGTGGGAGGCCACCGGGCACAACGCCTCGCTGCAGATCCTTTGCCACAACCCCCGACGACGCCGCCTCAAGTGTCGGAAGCTGGAGGGCGCCTTCCGCTCGCGGGCCCTCATCCTCATCCAGGAGAGCCACGGCTCGCAGGCGGAGCCGGAGACCATGCTGGCTCGCCCCCCTTTTTCGGCCTCCTACCACGGCTACTTTCAGGGCCGCGAGTCTGGAGGCGCCGGTGGCCTCGCCGTCCTCGCGCCTGGCCTCGCGCGTGCGGAACGAGAACAGCTTCGCAACGATGCTGCTGCTGGCCGCTCCCCGTCCTTCCTCAAGCCCGTCGCCACGCCCCGCAGCATCGTCGACAGCCGCCCACAGCTCATCACGATCACCAACCACAACTCCGACCACGAGATCCGCATCCTCAACGCGCACAACTACGACCTCAACGACGCCCAGAAGGTCAGGCCCCGCGACGAGTGGACCACCCACACGCTGTGGTCCAACAGCGACCCGCTCCGCTTCGCGTTCATCGCCATGGGTGACTTCAGCTTCTCCGACGGGCCCTCGCAGTCGCACCTCGCCCCTCAGCCAGCCAGCGCCGCCAGACCGTCGAGGGCCGCTTGCCGCAGAACCAGAGCTTCTGGCGCCAGCCTCCAACGCCATCGAGATCAGCTCTGGCATCCCGACCCACCTCTCCAAACGTCACCAGACGGGCACCACGATCGACAGGGTCTTCGCTGCCATTCCCGCCCCCTTTTCATCCCGCGCCTCCACTGCGAGCTCAACATCGCGCAGGACTCGTCGGCGCTTTCGGGCACGCGCTTCAGCGACCACGCCATTATGAAGCTCGCGATCGAGACGCGCCAGCCACCGGCGAAGGACCAGCGCCCACTCCCCGATTTCGTCTTTCGCTCCAAGCAGCACAAGTCCCTCGTCACGAAGATGCCCAGCGAAGCAGAGCTGGACAACATGAAGGACATTCGCCGCTACGACGTCACGATGCAGATCATGTTCCTGGCCGCCGACCTCGTCCGCAACGAGCTCCAGCGCCTTCCGCTCGGCACAGGCGACGTGAACGCGCTGGAGAGTAGGCGCCTCAAGCCCAGGGCGATCGCCCGCGCGATTTGGCGCGCCGATCTGCCCACCGCCCGCCTCTTAGCTGCCACCGCAGAGCTTGGTCAGAGATCCCTGGGCGCGTCGGGATTCCCCCCGCAGCTGCGCGACTCGGCCGAGTTCCAGAATGCCGCCATCCGCGACAACCATACGCGGCATGAGCGCGAGCAGCACCTAGCGGCCCCACGCGCGGCCCGAGCGAATGACCAGCCGATTCTGGAGGAGCAGTGGCGCATTCAACGCTCGCTGCAGCGTCGTGCCGCGATTCGGGCGCCTTTTTTCAGGGCGCTTCATTTTGCGCGGCATCGCCACCACTCAGATTGCACAAAATCCTCGCGCCATCGGAGGTGGGGCCAATCTGCCCCTGGTGGCCAGAGAGCCGGATCAGGTGGCCCCCACACTCAGGCCCCACTGGGCCACGATCTTCTCGGATAATCGCGTCTCCAGGGACGAAATCGACGCCTCCCTGAACAGGGTCTCACCGTCTTACCCTGTTGCTGACCTGCCAATCCCGTCGCCCGCAGCCCTGATTCAAGCATTCAAGCAGGGTCCAAAGTCAGCGCCTGGCCCAGTTTGGCCCCCATATCAAGCTTGGATGGCGGTGCCTGCCACCGTGGAATCCGTCTGCCCCATCATCCTTCGCCTCCTCTGCGCCCTTCCTGCCCCCCCCCCCAAATCCCCCCCTCATCCTTCAACCGCTCCATATTCGCGTTCCCGCCGAAGGGCGACAAACCAGGCGATGCGCTCGAATGCCTTCGCGACGCGTCGGGGGTCAGACCGCTCTCCCTGAAGAATTGCGACGCCAAGGCGTTCGCCTCGGCCATCAATTATTCGCTCACTAAGCTCGCGCAGAGCAGGGTCCACGATACCCAGCGGGGGTTCATTCGCGGCCACAAATTTTTTGCCAGAACATTGCCAAGCTAGACGTGCGAGCGAGAGCGGTCGAATTTCATGAACAGGCCGACTGATGTTTCCCGCTCTTTGTCGCTTCTGACATCAAAGCAGCGTTCCCAAGCATGAATCGCACGCGGCTGTTCGCGGTCCTCGAGCACATGGGGTTACCGCCAGGATACCTCGCTGCGACTCGCGGCCTCTACTCGCTAGCGCTGGCCTCGACGCGCGTTCGCGACGTGGCGGCCCCACTGCTGATGATCAATTCAGGGGTCATGCAAGGATGCCCCTATCAGCGGCCCCCATGTGGACCTTCGACATGGACCCCATCATTCGCTCGCTGGATCTGGCGCCCCCACCTGACCCCCGCGAGGCCTCGATCGGTGGGCGTGCAGATGATCTCGGCGCTGTCCTGTTCACGTACCTCACCTCGCTCTAACCCTCTTCGCCTCGGCCTCGAGCCTCGCCTCGCTCCACCTCCACCTCCTCAAATGCATGATCGCCCCCTTGTGGGCCCAATGCGCTGACGAAGTAGCGCAGGAAGTGCGCGCGATGCTGCGCCAGCTGATCCCAGAATGGCAATCCTTTTTCCATCACCGGCGCTGCCAAATAGCATGGCGTTTTCCTGGGCCCCGACACCACTAATGACCAGCAGCCGGAGAGAATCCTGAAGACCTCGGCCTCCGACTCTCCTCCTGGCTCTTCGCTCCGCCTCTACCAAATTGCGATTCCCCCCACCATAGGCTACGCGGCGCAGTTTTATCAGCCGCCGAAAACGTTGCTCGCCAAAGAGCCTCGCAGCATTCATAAGTTCCTCAAGCTGCCGCCGAGCTCGATGACGGGCCCCGATCATTGGTCGCTGCGCGCGCGGGCGCCTGGCTCGGCCACGACACCCATTGCCGCCTACTCTGCGGCGGCGCGTCATTATCTCCAACTTTCAAGCCTGGCACGACGAGCTGTCCGAAGCCTCGTGGTCGGGCAACACCATTGTTCGCCACGTTCAGCAGCTTTGGTCCCCGCCGTTTTGGCGCGACCAGAGCATCGCGCAATTCCTGCGCGCCCGTCTCGATTCGGTCGCGCCCCCGAAGGCCCCCTTGTGGCCCCCAGCGTTCCGCGGCTGCCGAGGCCAATCAAGCAGCCGCCCTCGCCGAGGGGCTTCAAAAACGCCCGAAGTGGCACGCTATTTACACTCGTGCCCTCCCCCGAGAGCTATACCCATACCGTTTTCACTTGACGCTGCAGAAGCGCGTGGAAGCATGGTCGCTTCTCCTCCCCCTCTTCCCCTCCCTGTCCTTCCTCTCGCCGATGCCTCCTCTTGCTCCTGGGATGCTGCTGCAGATCATGCCCCTCCTTCCCCTCCAGGAAAAAAAACTCTTGCGTGTGTGGTCGCCCTCCTCCTCCTCCTCCTCCTCCTCCTCCTCCTCCTCCTCCTCCTCCTCCTCCTCCTCCTCCTCTCCTCGCCCTCCTCCTCCCCTCCCTCCTCCTCCTCCTCCTCCTCCTCCTCCTCCTCCTCCTCCTCCTCCTCCTCCTCCTCCTCCTCCTCCTCCTCCTCCTCCTCCTCTTCCTCCTCCTCCTCCTCCTCCTCCTCTCCTCGCCCTCCTCCTCCTCCTCCTCCTCCTCCTCCTCCTCCTCCTCCTCCTCCTCCTCCTCCTCCTCCTCCTCCTCCTCCTCCTCCTCCTTTTCCTCCTCCTTTTCCTCCTCCTCGTCCTCGTCCTCGGCCCAGCCCCGCGGCCCTCGGCGACCGCACCCCGCGGGCGGCGGGCCGCGCCCGCGAGGGCCTGCTGAGGGGGGCGCCCCTCGCGCGGCACCCGCGCGGGGGGGGGGCCTCCCGGCCCCCCCCCCCCCGGGGAGCCCGCCGCGGTCGGGGCGCCGAGCTCGCTCGAGGGCTCGCGGCCGTGCGGTTCCGCCCGCGGCTGGCGCGGGGCGTCGCCGGCGAGTCGCCCTCGTCGTCCTCGTCGTCCTCGTCGTCTTCGTCCTCGTCGTCCTCGTCGTCGTCGTCATCGTCGTCGTCGTCGTTGTCATCGTCGTCCTCGTCGTCGTCGTCGTCCTCGTCGTCCTCGTCGTCGTCCTCGTCGTCCTCGCCGGCGAGTCGTCCTCCTCGTCCTCGTCCTCGTCGTCCTCGTCGTCGTCGTCGTGATGAAATGCAGTTGCTCAGTGGCGAGATGAATCCAACAAGCGGTCGGGCTAGCGGTGAGACGCGTCTGGAGCTAATTGGGACGGAAGCAAAGGAGGGGCAAGACGGGAGGATGAAGAATGCCGCGGAACGACCGCAGAGCTCTCAGACCATCTAGATCTTCGCGCGACGTCTCGGGGGGCCCACACTGGGCCCCAGGACCGTTCATAAACGGCCCAGGATGACAGGTCGAGCATCGTTGGCTGCAGCGCGTGATTACACACACGTTGCATGAGTAGTTCAAGGTGTGCTTGCACGCATCGATCTGCTGCGTGAATGTGCTGCTCACGCCGCGGCCACCGAGGCTCGAACCTAGACGGCGTGAGCTCATTGGCTTCATCGTGCGGCCCCCTGGGATGGGGCCCAGACCTCCGGGGGCCCACGTCGTGAACAGAAAGCACGCCGCCGGGGGTCCGGGTGCCCCGGGGCCTCGTCCGGGGATGCGTGTTCCACGGGCGGCGTGCAACGGGCGCAGACGGAGGGCGTCTGCGCCTGCCCGTCGGGCAGCTCGCGGCCAGCCGGCGAGGAGCCAGGAGCCTTCGGAGAAGCCTCGGGATCTCTCCCCTGAACTGGGGGAGAGAGACGACGACATGCATCCGGGGTGTCCACTGTGTTGGCGTCACAAGCGCTCCGTCTCGGAGCGGCGGTCACGGCCAACGCGGGGCTCCCGAAGGCTCTCCGGAGGGCCTCCGAAAGGGGTCACGCAAAATGCCCGCCAACACGGGTGTGTGACTGCCGCAAGTTTCGGGGGTGGACAGACCTCCTACCCTGACACGTCGATTAGTGAATTGTCCGTTTTCGGTTCTCGAGAGGGCGCCGCGGTCGTCATTTTCCAGGTTTGCGCCCACCAGGTTTGGGCCCGAGGTCGTTTTCACTAAACCACGTTTTACTGAAGGGAGGTCTGCCCATCCCCGGAAGTTGGCAACGCTACAAAATCGACGTTTGGGACCTCCGTGCCGACTTCTTCCCGCCACCAAAACATATACATAGACACCCTCTGCTGCATTGTTCCTGGGCCTCAGGGGAGGTAGGTGGTGTATCCATCACCACTGGGAGCCACCGACTTTCTACACCGACACCCTCCCTGAAGCACATGCTAGGTTCGTCGGAGGGTGTCCGTGTATATAAATAGAGTTGTGGGGGACGATCGATGGAGAGGAAGCATGTTGCCAAATAATTCCCAGGTGTCTAAAACATGTGTTAAACATGTTTTGAACATGTAAAGCATGCTTTAAACGTGTTTAGAACATGCTTCCGACAGTTTAGTTTAAACACATGGTAAACTCAATGATAGGATTGTTAGGGTGCCCATTGTCGTGGCATCCACAAAAACAGAGATACGTAGACCTGTATATATATATATATATATATACATACACACACATACACACATTCGTGGCGTGTTCGTGGATCTGCAGAGCAGGACCGCGAGCAGACACACAGAGAGGCGCTGCGGCTCGCGGCGGGAGGAAAGCGGCCGCGGAGGTCGCTGCGCGGCCGCGGGCAGCATCTCCAGGCCGCGCGGCCCCTCGTCCGGGCAGCCGGCCTTTCGGCGAGATATTGACGCTCAGCGGGGTGGGCACGGGACCTTCAGACCAGGGCATCGACTACAGAATTAATGTACTCCAAATTTGGTTTCCCGCCGAACATGCAAAACAAAAAAAACAAATAACAAGAACAAATAACAAAACAACAACAACAAAATCAACAAAAAACGTGGAAGGTTCGTACATTGTTTGCAGATTCGGCGGGAAAAACAATGTTGGGATAAATCAATCCTGCTGTCGATCCCCTACTCGACGTTCTCGGCTTCCGAGGAGGAGGAGGAGGAGGAGGAGGAGGAGGTGGACGAGGAGGAGGTGGACGAGGAGGTGGACGAGGCGGAGGACGGGGTCCAGGTCCCGTTGCCCTCAGGACGACCGTATGCCCCATGCGGAGATCCCTTCTGGCCGGCCACGTGGCTCGGCAGCCACGTGGGGCCGCCCCCCCCCCGCCCCCAGCTTGCCCTCCCCTGCCTCGGGCACGGGAGCTGCTGTGCGGCAGGTTGGGGCCCGCTGCATGGCATAGGCCGCCCCGGATCAGCGCGCCCCAGTGGAACAGCGAGCTGATGATCATGAGGAGGAGGAGGAGGAGGAGGAGGAGGAGGAGGAGGAGGCAAGGAAGAAAAAGGAGGAGGAGGAGGAGGAGCAGGGGGAAAAGGAGGAGGAGAAGGAGGAGGAGGATGAGGCGGAGGAGCAGGAGGAGGAGGAGGAGCAGGAGGAGGAGGAGGAGAAGGAGGAGGAGGAGGAGGAGGAGAAGGAGGGGGCGGAGGAGGAGGAGGAGGAGGAGGATCTTCCGAATCCTTCGTCGTCGTCCTCCTCCTCCCCCTCCTCCTCATCATCATGTTCAGCATCATCATCAGCATCATCATCAGCAGCATCATCATCAGAAGCATCAGCATAAGCATATTCATCTTCATATTCAAATTAATGTTCAGATTCATCTTCCTCTTCTTCTTCTTCTTCTTCTTCTTCGTCCCTCTCACCTTCCTCCTCTGTTCACCTCCTTTTCCTCCTCCGCATCCGCATCGTCCTCCTCATCCTCATTTTCAGCTTCATTCAATCACTCATCAAAAGTATGCACGCCAGGGACATTCACACACAACACCATAGAAGAAGAACAACTCTTCTCTGTGACGAGGGTTCCAAGGCTCTCGGTGTCTTAGTGCAGCACGTCGCTCCTCGGCAACTGTGCGTAAGCTGTCTTGGTTAAGTACGAACCGTGCGAGCAAAACTCCAGTGCCGAGCCAGGGACCCCAGATTTCTACCGAGGGCACCGGCTGCTTTTGCTCCAGAACAACGTGGCGGACGGAGGAGGAGGAGGAGGAGGAGGAGGAGGAGGAGGAGGAGGAGGAGGAGGAGCAGGGGGAAAAGGAGGAGGAGGAGCAGGAGGAGGAGGAAAGGAAGGAGGAAAAGGAGGAGGAGGAGGAGGAGCAGGAGGAGGCAAGGAGGAGGAGGAGGAGGAGGGGGAGGCGGAGGAGGAGGAGGAGGGGAGGAGGGAGAGGAGGAGGAGGAGGAGGAGGGAGGAGGGGAGCGGGAGGAGGAGGAGGAGGAGGAAACGAGGAGGAGGAGCAGAATCTTCCGAATCCTTCGTCGTCGTCCTCGTTCCCTTCCTCCTCCCCCGCATCATCATCATCATCATCATCATCATCATCATCATCATCATCATCATCATCATCATCATCATCATCATCATCATCATCATCATCGTCATCATCATCATCAGCATCATCATCAGCATCATCAGCAGCATCAGCATCCGCAGATTCACCTTCATATTCCTATTAATGTCGATGTTCCTCTTCTTCTTTTTCCTCCTCCTCCTCCTCCTCCTCCTCCTCCTCCTCCTCCTCCTCCTCCTCCTCCTCTTGCACCCTCTCCTGCGTGGTGCCCCCTCCCGCCGTCGCCATCCCCCTGCGGGTATCCGCGGTCCCCCTCCCCCTCTGGGAGGAGCGCGCCGCGCCCGTGGTCGAGCGGGTCACCCTCGAGGACATCTACGTCCTCTTACTGGAGGCCCCGCTCTCTTGTGAGAGGAGGAGACTCCTCCTCCTCCTCCTCCTCCTCCTCCTCCTCCTCCTCCTCCTCCTCCTCCTCCTCCTCCCTCCTTCCTCCTCCTCCTCCTCCTCCTCCTCCTCCTCCTCCTCCTCCTCCTCCTCCTCCTCCTCCTCCTCCTCCTCCTCCTCCTCTGTCCTTGTCTGTAGATGTAGGGCCGGCGCCCTCTAACAAGCGCTCTTCTTTTTTCCCCGTTTTCTCCATTGTCGGCCTCCTGGGAGGCCCTCGTCGCCACCGCTGGATTCGCCTCGGAAGCCTGATCAGAGTAGCGGTATCGGTACTTTTCGGCTTCCCCATCTTGGGGGGTGGGTCCGAGGGACTCTGAGGATGCGACGTGGGAGGGCTTCTGCAGCAGCGTGGCAGTTTCCTGGGCCTGCTATTCAGTCGGGCATGTCCCTCTGTAGGAGGACTAGTCGAAAAAAACAAGCAAAAGATGGTATGGGGATCATTTTTTTGCTGTTGTTGCCCATGTGTGAGTCTGTGTTTGCTATGTCTAGTTTCTCTTCCAAGTCCGCAGGCGGACAGGACATGCCCGAGCTGAGCCCGCAGTGCTCCGGTCGCCCTCCTCCCCGCGTCCGTCCTTCCCTGGACGCGCCGTCTGCCTCCCCGCACCAGCACGCGTCCTCCTCCCGGGGGCCTCCGCCCTGGGCGGGGTGGGCATCGGGGGCCACGCTGACTGGGCCATAGGCGGCTCGAAGCTCGAGGTTCTCCTGCGGTTGCGCCAGTTCTCGTCGGGTCGCCACTGGAGGGCGCCGCATCCTCCTCCGGGGGGGCCCGCTCTCGGGGAGGGAGAGAGGCGAAGGGAGTACGGCTACGGCTGCGGTGAAAGTGCGGTGGCCGATTGCCAGACCGGGCGCAAAAAACAAGGGGAACGAATCACGAACAGGGGGAGTCAGCCCTGATCCACGCGCTCCGTCGCCAAATCAGTCGGCATTGGTTCCATGTTTCGTGGGGATCTTTCCCCTCAGAGGCAACGCTGAGGGGAGTAGGTGGTTCGAGGTTCAAGGTTTTCGCGTGTTTTCGTCGGTTCTCGACAGCTTCCCAGCTGGGGGTAGGGGATCAGAGGCAACGCCAAGGGGGATAGGCGGTTCGAAGTTCGAGATCTTCAGGCGTTTTCGTCCCTTCCTGGCGGCCTCCCAGCCTCAGCATGCCTTCCAGCAGCTGCGCCTGGCCGAGACCGTAACGGGGGTGTCTATATCGTCAGCCGCCAGAGAGCCGAGTTATGGCCCGAAAACCATGGGACAAGTTCTGTGGGGGAACAGGCTCCGGGGTGGGGGGGCGCATCGACCCCCAATCGCGCACTCATCGCCAATAGGCGCCCGAGAGCTCATCCCAGACCGTGCGGTTCCGCTATCGGGGGCCTATCGGCGATGTACTATCACCGATTCCAGGTCGATGTTTCCCTCCCTGAGCGGAACCCCTCACGTTCCCCTTCAGGAGAGAGGGGGTGAAAGGGAGCGCTGCTTCGCTCCTGTGAGGAGGTGAATCCAGTTAACCTGCTTTGGAGTCATGGCCCAAGTTCAGCACGGGTGGTGCCAACGCTGGCGATCTCGCTTTCCTTGCACCGGGCGCCCGCTCGCTTCCATTTGTCGCTCCCCCACGGATTGGGGAGGGTTTTTCAGGAGAGTGGGCTTAGCCGGCACAGCCAGAGTTGCCGTCGGATCTTCAGCAAGTATGTATTGGGAACGGCCTCGGTGGTGGCGGCTGCATCGACATCTTCGGAAGTGGTCTCGACGGTTGCAAGGGCTGTAGGGCCAGACCGAGGGTCGAGGTTCGAACGTCAAGGATCAAGGTCTTGAGGGATGTCATAGCCCCCCTTTGGGCCCTCCTGGAGGCTCCTGGCGGCCACGGCTTGATTTCGGGCAGCATCCTAGCCAGAACGCACGCCTGGACAGGTCGGAGGGGGGGACGATGTTGTTTCACCCTAGGGCGCAGACCTCCAACGTGGCAAAGAAGCCACAACGAAGCGGCTGGGGACGGAGCCCAGGGACCCGCAAAAACAATTCACCGCGCGAAGAATTGTGGCATGGATGGGGTCGGGAGTTCTGGAGCCCACGTCGCGCGAAAACTAAATCATCGGGTGTCCCACATACCGCCGAGTCCCTGCGCCAGCACATGCGTGCCCAAGAATACACATGTTGCTAATGGTGCAGTCTCTTTTTTTCTCTCTCTCTCTCTCTCTCTCTCTCTACCCACCCCTCCCTCCCTCCCTCCCTCCCCTCCCTCTCCCTTTCCTTCTCTCTCTCTCTCTCTCTCTCTCTCTTGTTGCTTCTCGTGTTCTCTCGCTCTCTCTCTCTCTGTCTCTCTCTCTCTCTCTCTCTCTCTCTTTCTCTCGCGAACGGAGAGGATGGGGGCGAAACGCGAGGCGCGCTCCGCGGCAGGGGCGGCAAACAGCGCGCGTCTCGCGTCTCTTTCTCTTGTGTTGTCTTGCTTGTTTTCGCTATCCCTCTCTCTTTTTCTTTCTTTCTCTCTCTCTCTCTCTCTATTTCTGTGTCTCTCCTTATTTCGCTGTCTCTCTCTCTCTCTCTCTCTCTCTCTTGTTCTCTCTCTCTCTCTCTCGCGTTCGGCCTATCTCCTTCCGTGTGTACCTATGCGTCTTATGGATATGTACTGTGTACTTGCACCTGCACACGCATGCACATCTGTGTATGTATATATATACATATATATGCATACACACGGACACGTGTGTGTGTGTGCGTATGTGCATATGTTGGCCAGCGCGCACCCCAAAGAATGTGTGTGCTTGTGTGTTAGGCACTTGTGTAATGAAGTCTATGTGATGCCATATACGTGGCGCAACCGACGTGTTTCAATACATCATGTGCAACGTATGTGGAACCACTTGTGTTGTGAAATTAGTGGGTTATGTGCAGTCGATGGTTTGCTATATATGTCGTACAACCTACGTGGTCCGACATATGGTATGCACTACATGTGGTTCACTCTACGTTGTACAAAGTATGTGGTGCAACATACGTTGCACCACAAGTGTTTTACCATTTATGTTGAACAACCTGCGTGGTGAAATCATGTGTTGTCATGAGCGTGGGGCAAGCTGCGTGGCGCAGTATATGTGAGTCGATCTGCGTTGTGTAATATATGTTGTGCAACCTATGTTGTGACATCTCGATTGTGCATTCCACGTTGTGCGGCATATGGTGGTTACTCAAAGATTGTGCAATCGATGTGGTGCAACCTATGTTATGCAATATATGTGGTGCAATCTATATGGCGCAATCGATTGTTGAAGATATTATGTTCCAGCTCCACTGCTCGCGCAACCACCCCACCCACCCACCCGCAACTTGGTTTGTAAAACCCACGCGACGGCGATTGCAATGATTGCTTGGCGTTGGCTGCCGCATCGCTGCGGCCGCGCTAGCGTTCGCAGGCTCGCGCGCAGAACGTGAGCTAGTCTGACGCAACCGACGCGGGCGCGGTGCCGGTCACCGCTGGGGACCCCCAGCACATTTCGCAGGCCGCGCTGGCGCGCGGGCTCTTCAGTGCGAGTCGGTGATTCGGGCGGGCGCGGTAGCATGGCGGCATCGACAGCGGCAGACACGATGATAATACTAGCGATGCCGGTGGCAATGGTGACGCTGACGACAGCAAGGCCGATGACGGCGTCGACGTTGATCACGCCGGTGACAATGGTGGTGTCCACGCGTCGGTGATGAAGCTGTTGGAAGGATTTCGACATTCGCGCGCGGCCGACGGGCGCAAGTGGCCCGCATGGTCTTTGCTGACAGGGGTCGCGTGACCCCACCCCCCACCCCAGCAAGCGCGAAAGGGCTTTCGAATGATTTCGAATTTCGCGCGCGAGAGGCCCGCTTGGACGCATGTGATGAACATGTTGAAAGACGTATGGTGGCCGTCAGATTTCGCAAGAGCGCGCGCGCGCGCTGATTTTTGTCCCATCAATTCTGCGGTGTTGGGTCTTCGTTATGAAGAGACAGCGCCCCGCATCCCTCGGTTCTCCTCTCCTATCCTCCTCCCCCCAGTCCAAGTCTTGCACCTGCATTCAACCAACCGACCATTTCGATACACCCTTTAGACGGTTCGCGGCCCGATGGCGAGCTCCACCTAAAAGCCCCAGTGGCTGCGTTCGCACGCGCCCGCTTCACCCATGCAAGCACACCCCTCACACGTTTCGTGGCCCCAGAGGGTGCTCCACCGAATGCACCAGTAGCTACGTCCGCATGTGCCCTCCGCACTCATGTCGGCACACCCCTTACACGCTTCGTGGCCCCGTAGCGAGCTCCACCGAAGTTCGCGTTCGCATGAACCCGCCGCGTTCGTTTCGGCACACCAGTCACGCTTCGTGGCCCCATAGCGAGCCCAACCGAAGGCCCCAGTGGTTGCGTTCGCATGCGACCGCTGCACCTATGCGGGCACACCCCTCACACGACGCGTGGCCCCACAGGGAGTCCCAACGGAGGCCCCAGTGGTTGCGTTCGCACGCGCCCACCGCACACATTCCGGCACACCCTTTAAACGTTTCGTGGCCCCATGGCGATCCCAACCGAAATCCCCAGAGGCTGCGTTCGCATGCGCCCGCGGTATTCATTTCGGCGCACGAATCGCATTTTTTGTGGCCCCACCGGGAGCTCCACCGAAGGCCCCAGTGGTTGCGTCAACGCGCCCGCCGCATAAAGTTCGGCACAACTTGCATTCGCTTCGTGGCCCCAGAGGGAGCTCCACCGAAGGCCGCAGTGGCTGCGTTCGTATGCGCCCGCCTCACCCATTTCGGCACACCCCTCACACGTTTCGTGGCCCCACAGGCAGCTCCACCGAAGGCCCCAGCGGTTGCATTGGCATGCGCCCGCCGCAGCCATGTCGGCACACCCTTCACACGTTTGGTGGCCCGATGGCGAGCTCCACCGAAGGCCCCAGTGGGTACATTCGCATGCGCCCGCCGCACCCATGTCAGCACAGCCCTCACACGCTTCGTGGCCCCGTAGGGAGCTCCACTGAAGGCCCCCTATGGCTGCGTTCGCACGCGTCCGCCCCAATCATTTTCGGCACACCCTTCACACGCTTCGTGGCCCCATAGGGAGCGCAACTGAAGGCCCCAGAGGCGGTGTTCGCATGCGTCCGCCCCGCGCATTTCGGTACATCCCTCACATGCTTTGCGGCCCCACAGGGGGAGGGGGGCTTCACCGAAGGCCTCAGTGGCGGTGTTCGCATGCGTCTGCCCAAGCAAGTTCGGCATACCCCTCATTCGGTTCGTGGCCCCATCGGGAACTCCACCGAAGACTGCATCGACTACGCTCGCATGCGCTCACCGCGCAAAAAGTCATGTAGATTCCTCACACGCTTCGTGGCCACATCGGGAGCTCCGCCGAAGACAAGATTCATCACCTGTGTTCGGGAACCTCGACCTTGAAACTCTTACGAAACCTACGATTGTTGAATCATCCCGGCATGATGCGCGCGACGCCGCCCGCGTGTGGATTTTGCCGTGTTGCTCTTGCACGTGATTGTTGGAAGTTGCTGATCCGTGGTAGACGATTACGCGCGCATAGTAGTATTTGAAAGGGGGAGGGGGGGTCGATAACCGGCTCGGCTGGGATGATATGAGTTCACATTTATTACAAGGAAGGGACAACATCATACGTTAATTGTATTACCCCAGGGGGAACGATACAGTTGGGGGGGTGTAGATGCGAATGGCTTTGTATGACAGGAGATTATATGTGGTGCTCTTCGCCCTGCCGACCTTGAAGTTTGCAACTCCACTGCCCGCGCAATCATCCCCGTCATCATTACCAACAACACCATCATCATCATCATCATCATCATCATCATCATCATCATCATCATCATCATCATCTCATAGCCACCACCATCAGCATCGCCATCATCATCATCATTATCAGCATTGTCTACATCATCATCGTCAGTATCACTGCCATCTCTGTCCTCACCGTCATCATCATCGCCAGCATCATCAATTTCGTCATCACCAGCATCATATCTGCGCCGTTTCATTTCTCGTTCGTCAGTCCTTCCCGCGAATGGCTCCTCCTCCTCGCGGTGCGCCCCCTAGCCTCTTCGGTCGTCTCGCTCCTCCTTGACCTCCTCGTCCTGCTCGTCCTCAGTCCCCCTCCCCCCCTCGTCATCATCATCATCATCATCATCATCATCATCATCATCATCATCATCATCATCATCATCATCATCATCATCATCATCCGCGTCGTCCTCTTCATCCCACCCTGCGTGTTCCCACCGCTCCCACCCCCAACGCCCTCCTCCTCCCTCCCCTCCTCCTCCTCCTCCTCCTCCTCCTCCTCCTCCTCCTCCTCCTCCTCCTCCTCCTCCCCCTCCTCCTGCTGCTCGATCCCGCTTCCTTAAAATAACCTCTCCCTGTCGCACCACGAGGCCAGGTTTTAAGGCGGGCCGGGCGTTTCGCCTGAGACCTCTTCACCCTTTCTGACCCCGAAGCTTCAACATCGGCAACCGTTTCACAGATGGAGGGCGGGTCGTTTTCAAAATGTGGCGCTCGCCTTAGCGTCGCGTATGCTGGCTTTTTTTAATAAGAAAATGCAAGCGTTTCACGGATTGAGGGTGGGTGGTGTTCAAAATGTGGTTCTCGCCTCAGCGCCGCGCAAATTCTGTTTGGAAATGTGCAAGAGTTTTCCGGATTGAGGGCGTTTCTTGTTCAACATGTGGTTCTCGCCTTAGCGCCGCGCACATTATGCTTTAGAAAATTGCGTGAGGTTCACGGAGTGAGAGCGGGTTGTGTTCAACATGGGGTTCTCGTTTTAGCGTCGCCTGCATTTATTGTAGAAATGCGCAAGAGCTTCACGGATTGAGGATTCGTCGTTTTCTAAATGTGGTTCTCGCCTCAGCGCCGCGTATATTCGTTTTAAAGATTGTAAGAGTTTCACGGATTGAGGGAGGGTGGTTTTCAAAATGTGGTTCTCGTCTCAGCGCCGCGCATGCTCGTTTTTTGTTTGCAGGAGTTTCATTGGTTCCCATGATCAATGTATCAGAAATTGTGCGTTGGCAGGATTCAGGATTATGAGAGCACAACAGTTACATTGATTCGCTGTGTTGGGGTCCCAGGAATGGCGTTCTGGCGCGATTCAGGATCGTCAAGACACAACAGTCAGTTTGATCCGCGGCGTTGGAATCCCGAGAACAATGTTTTGGCGTGCTTCAGGGTCTTCAACCGGTTTTCTTCTAACGAGGCAGCTCCTTCAGTGGGAATGAACCGTTCTAGAGGCCTATGAAGAGGGAGCTTGGAGGACGGGTTTACTCCAACATCGTTGATGACTCTTTGTTTGCACTGGTCCTCCTCCTCCTCCTCCTCAGCCTCCTCCTCCTCCTCCTCCTCCTCTTCTCCTCCTCCTCCTCATCCTCATCTCCTCCTCCTCCTCCTCCTCCTCCTCCTCCTCCTCCTCCTCCTCCTCCTCCTCCTCCTCCTCCTCCTCCTCCTCCTCCTCCTCCTCCTCCTCCTCCTCCTCTCCCCCCTCCCGCTCCTCCCTCCCCTTTGTCCCCTCCCTCCCCTCCCTTCATCCCCCCCCCCCTCCCCTCCCCGCCTCCTCCCTCCCTTCCACCGCCGACTCCCAGGTGCAGCGGCGTGGGGACGTGGCCGCCGCCGAGCGTTGGCTCCCCTCGGCTTGGGGGGGGGGGGGGGCGGCGGCCCCCAGGTTCGGGAGGGAGGAATAGGAGTAGGAGTAGGAGTGGGAGTGGGAGTAGGAGTAGGAGGAGGAGGGGAAGGAGGAGGAGGAGGAGGAGGACGACGACGACGACGACGGCGACTAGGACGAGGACGACGGCGACGAGGACGAGGACGAGGACGACGACGACGACGCCGACGACAACGCCGACGACGCCGACGACGACGACGACGACGACGACGACGACGACGACGACGACGACCACGACAACGACGGCGGCGGCGGCGACGGCGACGAGGGAGGAGCAGCAGCGGCGGTGGCAGCAGCAGGAGCGAGAGGACGGCGGTATCCAGGCAGGTGCGGGAGGGGGTGGAGGGGCGCCTCCCCAGGGGGAGTGCGGAGGAGGAGGAGGAGGAGGAGGAGGAGGAGGAGGAGGAGGAGGGGGAGGGCAGAGCAGGCACACCGAATCGGAAATCGGCCTGCCAACGGTGGCCCCACGAGAGCAGCGTCGTCCCCCGAGGGGTCCGCAGAGCCCTGGGGCACGGTACGAAGCGCAGGGCCGACGGAGGCTCTGCCCGTACACTCCTGATAGCAAGGTGTGTTGTAGTGGCCTCCGGCCAGTGCCGCCGATCCGGGGGGCACTGGGTTCGGTGATCTTGGAGTCGTCGGGGACGCTGCTTGGGAGGGAGGGCGCTCTTGGAGTCGTTAGGGACGCTTTCTGGAGCTGACGTGCCCTCTGGATGGGGTGCCTGGAGCGGTTCCGCGGGGGGTCCGGGGAGGGTTCCGAGGGGAGGGTCCCTGGGGGCGGTAGCGGCTAGATCTGAGGGGGGGGTCCCTGGGACACAGCGAAACATTTTGGGGATGCGCAAACCATTGAGAAAACGCCAGATGGAGGACCCCCGCCCCCCTTCCCCTCCTTCCCCGACAGAGCCACCCCGGCGACCCCCCCCAAGCAGAGCTGAAGCTCTTGCCTAGGCTCAGAGCTGAAGGTCTTGCCGAGGTTCCTTGTAGCTCACACGCCGGATCGGCGGATTATCGCATGCACTGCAAAGCCAGCGTGCGCCAGGGATGATGAAACACAGACTCTCCACTCCCAAGACCCTTCCTCCCCAAGTCCATGCAGGCTTCCCTTCTCATTACCAGGCGCGCCCCCCTGAAAGACCAGCACCTTCACGGGCCTGCCGTGCAGGCGAGAGCCCCGTTCTTGACAAGGAAGCGGGCTCCGCCCTGTTAGCGGCGAGCCTAGAACGTGGACAAGTATCTTGCAGATGTTGAAGGTGTTTGGTAGTACTCGCCAGAAAGTCTTATGCCAGGGGCCCGTTGTGAAAAAGAACCGCCACCCCTCCTTGTACATGCGGCAGGGAGGTAAGACGAATGCGCGCAGCGCGAAGGCGGGAGCCTCAGTTTGGAATCGGCAAGGATCAATATTTGTAATTGTTGCAAGCGTCCAAGAATAATGCGGGCGGCGTTAGCGAAAGGGCCCCGTGTTGGAACCGCACCGCTCTCTACCCGCGCGGTTGGTGCAACCGTTTGAAACGAAGATGCGCTGCGCGAAGGCGAGAGCCAGATTTTGAAAACGAATTGCTATCCGTCCCTGTGAATGCCCGGAGTTGTTTAGACGACTGCACGCGTCTCTAAGGCGAGAGCCAATTTTGAGAGCGACCCTCTTTATTTGTAATTGTTGCAAGCTTTTTGGACGTGTGCGGACGGCGCGAACGCGAGAGCCACATTTTGAAAATCAGGTGTGTCCCATCCCCGTAAATATCGCAAGCTTTTGAAAGCTAACGCGCGCGGCATTGAGGCGAGCTCTTCTGTTGAAAAGGACCGTTGTTCCATCCTTCTACCAGTCGCGAATAGCAAGACTCAGGATCATACGCAGTGAAGAAATCGTAGGCGAAACGCCGGGCCCGCCCTACCTACATGTCTGGGGAAGCGAGAGGGAGGAGCTATATATATA